TAATAGCTAAAATTTCCAAAGGTTCCATCCTCACTGAGCATGCCTGAGCCTCTCAAGTCCTAGTGTTCCAACTGAAGTCAATGGGAGTGCACTTTGAACACAAAGTGCTATACAATGCAAAGTTCTCTGAAAAATCAGGTCCTAAGCATTTCAATTTGGACACACAAAGCTAGTGGACATTTTTGACCTTAATCTTTGTGTCTGTGTTCCCCTTTGTCAACTGGAGATAATACCACCCTCCTCTCCTCACAGGGGAGTGGTGAAAATAAAGTCATTATTATTTGTGAAGCATTCAGATTCCATAATGATGAGTACCACAGATAAACCATAAGGAAAGCAATAATTCTGTCTGCTGACCAGGATTTGAATAGTGTGCACTAAATAATGCATAGGGCCACACAGTATTGAATAGCTGCTGTGTAACTACTTTTATTTAGCATGTGCATAGTCATCTAGCCAAGCGATGGTATCTTCAGTGACGTGGTGCAGTTCTTCGAGGCTATCGCTGAACCTAGTCAGCAGGCACTCATCGACAATGTGAGTCATCGTCTGTGTTGCGCCGCAGCTGCACAAGGGGTTGCCACAAAGGCCCCAGCGATACTGGTTGGCTGCACAGAGACCTTGCCTGGTCTGGAACCTGTTCAACAGGGACCATTCGTGACAGGGCAGGTCAAAACCAGGAGGGCAAATTGTGGGGTTGGCAACAAGGCACTGGTTGGGGATTATAACAGATATCCATGCCTCTCGCCAGAGTGTTTCCGCCCTAACATCCTGGCATGGTGGATGAGACCATAATGGGTGACGTGACAGCAAACGTGCAGCTGGTGGTTTAAAAAAGTCATTGTGCAGTGGCAAGCTTGAGCTGGCGCATACTTTCTCTAGTAACTTGCCAGTGGCAACCTCTCATCTGATATGAGGAGGAGCAATATTGCTCAGAACTAGAAGCCCTGGGAGTGGTGTTGGACGCAGGGTACCGGAGATGATACGCTTGGCGGCATGTAAGTGTGTATCCACTAGTTTGGTGTGTGAAGATCGACTCCAAACTGGTGCACAGTACTCCGCCACTGAATACGAGGTGGCAAGAGCTGACGTCCACAAAGTTGGAGCACGAGTACCCTATGATGAACCTGCCCGTTTGCTAAGAAGATTGTTGTACATCTTAACTTTAGCTGCTGTCTTCTTCAGGTGGGCATGGTAACTCAGTGTGCGGTCTAAGGTCACACCTAGATAGACCGGTTCTACTTCATGCTTCACCTTCTGACCATTCAAACACTGTCTATCCTATGTACTAAATGAGGCAGGGGGCCTGTGGAAAAAATAGTATCTGATCGTGTAATTAAAGTTTGTATCAAAACACATACGCACTAAGGGGTCAAATTTAGGATGTATAAGCATAGTTAATTCTAGCATTTCTTACCTTTTGAGTGCTTGACTTTGCACCCTTGTTAATTTTTCTGTGTTATACTTTATAACAGTGGAATAATTATGAAAATGCCACTTGCTGTTCCATAGTTGAGAGCATTGAGATTGGCACTTAAAGCAGGGATTCAGCTACTTTGTTATATATGAAAAATGCACCTTATCCTCCCCAAAGTTACAGAACTTTCAGTACTGAATGAATTTTCTGAGAATTTGCAAGTAAATGTGTTAATCAATTTAGGAGTTAGTTAATTTTAAAATGAGTGCTTTAAGAAATTTACCACTCTGGGTCAGACAAATTTTTGGCATGAACAATCTTTATAATAGAATAATTAAGACCTTTCAAAATTTCCCATATAGTTAAAACTCATTGAAATTTCATACCTGGGCTATAATTTTTTAAAAATTATGATTACTGAACTTTTTGCCATTACTTTTCAAACTGAAACTTAAGTCTTCAGCAGGGGCTGATGAGTAGTGTTCTATTACTGAGAACTTCGCTCTTTCAAAAAAGGCTCCATTCGTTCTCAATGGGAGTGAGGCAAAAGTGCCTTTCGAGAAAATGGTCACCCAGGGCAGAAATTGTATTAAATAATCATCATTGTGAACAGTCAGACCATGCAATATAATGTTGTAAGATAACAGTCTCATCTCCGTGGTAGCTACAGTGAGACTCATTCAAGCAGGCAATGGTCTCACCCACTCAGACATGGATAGATCTCCAGTGCAGAAGACACACCAAAAATGTAAACATCACGTCCATGTCCTTGCCTGATCATCACTTCCTTAAAAGAGAAGTTCTCCCCAACGCCTTTGATTCTAGAAGCAGGAAGAACCACACAGTGCCACCCTTGAAGCTCATGGACTTTGTAAGAATTACTATACTCCATGCCAGAGAATACTATCCTTCTCCAAAATCAGTTCTGGTAAAACATCAGGACCTCACCATTCACAGCTGACACACTGGCCCCAAACATGTATCAGCATATTACCTGGACAAAGTACCATGGTTCTCAGCTACACCCAGCGAGTTTAAGCACAAGGCTGGAGCACCAAGGGGTAATGACCAGCTGAGAATCAGACCACATGCAGTATAAGGAATTCACATGAACTTGTGTCAGAGGTGACTGAAGTCTAAAAACACTTCTTCTTGACCACAAAAATGTGAGCAAATTTTGAACAATTGAATTGTTCCAAATCTTCAATTGTGCAGTGAATTTAGATTGCCTCTTAGTTACAGTTTGGCCACCTCTAACTGTGAGATACATCCCATCTACTGAATCTGAGCATCTCTTGGGATCTGAAATAAGTTTTGACATTGCACATTAGACTGGACGAGGGGCCACCACTTCCCACAGCTCCCATTGGCCAGGAAAGGCGAACCGCAGCCACTGGGAGCTGCGAGCGGCCGTACCTGCAGACACTCAGGTAAACAAAGCGTCTCGCGGCCCACCAGGGGCTTACCCTAAACAAGCCGCGAACCAAATTTGGGAACCCCTGGACTGGACCCACTCACTGCAGATGGAGATATTAAAAGACACCCAAAGGTCTGTGCCTTCAACTGAGAGCTAGATAAAAATGTCTTTTACAGTCAGAAGCCCACATTTTAAATTTAGGCACTCACATTATGGCAACCAATTTACAATGGTGGCTTCACAAAATGGCATTTTGGCTCTCAAAACAAGTACCTGAGTAGCTATATGCTTGTTTCGGTGCTCATATGAGGAAATGACTACCTTTGCTTACATATCAACTATAAAGATTGGGCTTTCTAAACAGAACATTTCTGTGTTTTGGCTAAACAGCTGAAAATTAAATTCCTGGGTTTTCATTTATTTTTTGTAGTTCATAATTAGGTTTTACTAATGTATCTCTCAGGTGAAAAACATCCTCCAAAAAATTACTTTAATCAACACATCTTGGAACAGCCATTTCACAATTGATAGATGCAGTAGAAAGAGAGAGCCTGAAACATGAGGTCTGGTATAAGAGGCCTAAGGCCTGAACTAAAGTAGTGGTCAAGCCTTGCTGATATAAAGCAAAGTTAGTAAAAGTCAGGTTATGAGCAGAAGTCAGGCTCTGTCACAAAACATATCTGCTTGCAAGTTCACAGAATCTGGCAAGAACAGCGCTGGCACTGAAAAAAAAACACACACACATTCCTAAGTAGTCCTAGGCACAGGATAATCACGCAAACACCCTGATACAGTGTTATGGTGTAAACACACTCCCTGAAGATAATACAAGGACACACTGACCCTCTGTTAAAATATAAGATTAGGATGAAGGGTGATGAATAGAGATGTTCTGATCGAATCAACATGTACAAGGTAAATGGTGGTAATTAACCACCTCAGAGGGACAAGACATAACTTGATTTTATCAGTGTAGAAAAGAAGGGTCACAGAGGGTTTGTCTTTATCCAGCTGAGGCGAGGGATGGCAAGTCCCGCCATTCACTGAGCTGGTCCATTGTTACGGCCATACATGTGTTAGTGGTCCTGTAAAGTCTCCGGGACACTAGGACCGTGCTTCAATCGACAATAAACCTGGCCAGGTGCCTTGGCTACTGCAATGTGTCTGTGGTTTTATTGGGCAGTTTGATTGAGGTCCGCTGTGTCCACTATCTGTGCAGAGCTGGGACAGCATACTGAAAGAACACACATGCAGCCAACGACTAATTATAGTAGGAAAACAAAACACACAACACACCACACTCAATCATCCTTGTGTGCTTTGTTGAGCAAACACTAAGTCAGCTGAATTCAGTATGTGTGTGGATTACAATATGAGGTTTAAATTGTAATGTATGTGTAAATTACGAAAAATTATTAAAAAGCTACTTAGTGCTACTCTGGTTTGATAATTGTAACTGACCAGAAGAGAAATGTTCGTAGTTAGAATCCTAAATGACCTGACTAACTACATAATGTCAGGGAAGGGAGAGCCTGGCTCCCCAAGAAGGTACAACTTGAGCATCTCTATGAGGATTTTCAAGTGTTATTTTTATTTTTAATTTCTTACCATTTCTTCAGAGGTAAGATGCATCAGACGTTCAGCTACTGCAGAACACTGGGAAGAGTCCATGATGAATTCTCCTCGTGCGTCACCTACTATAAGCTCTGGCCACATGGGTCCTTCATCCTTCTTAATTAGAGAAATCTCCAAACTAAAGGATAGATATGGGGTTGGAAGGTAAGAATATATGTAACATTACAGATAATATCACTACGTTCTCAAGCTGACAATCACCACCTCTAAATGTGGATTTTAGAGGGGGGAAAAGGATTAATAATCCAAAAATTATATCCTAATTTTTGCCATTCACATAATTTGCAATAAAAAGTTGCCTTTTGTAGTTACTCCAAAGTAATGATATCCATCAGAAAGTCAAAACAAAAATAGATATATCTAGAGGTTTTTTCATAAATTCCAAGGCCAGAAAGGACCATTGTGATCATCTAGTCTGATCTCCTGAATAACTTCTCCAAAATAATTCCTAGATCATATCTTTTAGAAAAAGATCCAAGTTTGATTTAAAAATTGTCAATGAAGGAGAATAGACCAAGACCCTTGGGTAAGTTGTTCCACTGGTTAATTACTCTCACTGTTAAAAATGTATGCCTTATTTCCAGTCAGAATTTGTCTAGTTTCAATTTGAAACTTGCAGGCATTGGATTATGTTGTACCTTTTCTCTGCTACATTGATGAGCTAATTATTAAATATTTGTTCCCTATGTAGGTTCTTATAGACTGCAATCAAGTCACCCCTTACCTTTCTCTTGTTGAGTTAAATAGATTGAGCACCTGGAGTCTACGACTATAAGCACGTTTTCTAATCCTGTAATCTTTCTTGTGGCTCTTCTCTGAACCCTCTCCAATTTATCAATATCTGTGGACACCAGAACTAGACACAGTATTCTAGAGTGGTCAACACCAGTGCCAAACACACATGTAAAATTACCTCTCTGCTTGAGAAACCCCTCTTTATAGCTCCCAGAATTCCATTAGCCCCTTTAGCCAGTGTTGTACTGGGAGCTCATGATGAGCTGATTCTCCACCACTTCCCCTAATTCTTTTAGAGAGTCGCTTCTTCCTAACAGAGAGTTCCCCATCCTGTAAGTATGGCCTGTGTTCTTTATTCCTAGACGTATACATTTATATATAGTCATATTAAAATGCATAGTTAATTTTCACCCAACTTAAGCAACCCTTATTCCTCTGTCTCAGTGACCTGTCCTCTTCATTATTTGCCACTTCCCCAAAATTTTTGTCATTGGCGAACTTAATTACCAATGATTTTTTTGTTTTCTTCTAGGTCACTGATAAAAATGTTAAATAGCTAGGACCAAAAACTGATGCCTGCAGGATTTCACTAGAAACCCACTCAATGATGATTCCCCCTTTAAAATTACATTGAGACCTATCAGTTAGCCAGCTTTTAAAGCACTTCATGTGTGCCATGTTAAGTTTATATCTTTCCAGTATTTTAATCAAGTTGGCATGTACTACCAAGTCAAATGCCTTACAGAAGTCTACGTATATTACATCAACATCTTAATCGACTTTAAGAGTCTAAATACAGAAAGACTTATTTCTGTGAATCCTCATTGTTCCTGAGCTTTTCATTTTAAATTTAGTGTCATTAAAGTAGGTATTAAAACTGTGTGTGTGTGTGTATATATATATATATATATATAAGGTCGATCAAATCACAATTATCTCACACGATTAACTCAAAAAAATTAAAATTGTGATTAATCGCACTGTTAAACAATAGAATACCAATTGAAATTTATTAAATATTTTTGGATGTCTTCCTACATTGTCAAATATATTGATTTCTATTACAACACAGAATACAAAGTGTACAGTGTTCACTTTATATTTTTTATTACAAATATTTGCACTGTAAAAGTGATAAATAAAAGAAATAGCATTTTTCAATTAACCACATTCAAGTAGTGTATGTGTCGCAGATGACACTAAGCTGGGGGGAGAGGTTGATATGCTTGAGGGTAGGGATAAGGCCCATAGTGACTTAGACAATTTGGAGGATTGGGCCAAAAGAAATCTGATGAGGTTCAGCAAGAACAAGTGCAGAGTCCTTCACTTAGGAAGGAAGAATCCCATGCACCGCTACAGGCTGGGGACCAACTGGCTAAGCAGCTGTTCTGCAGAAAAGGACCTGGGGATTACAGTGGACAAGAAGCTGGATATGGGTCAGCAGTGTGCCCTTGTTGTCAAGAAGGCCAACAGCATATTGGGTTGTATTAGTAGGAGCATTGCCAGCAGATCAAGGGAAGTGATTATTCCCCTCTATTCGGCACTGGTGAGGCCACACCTGGAGTACTGTGTCCAGTCTTGGTCCCCCCACGACAGAAGGGATGTGGACAAATTGGACAGAGTCCAGCGGAGGGCAACGAAAATGATCAGGGGGCTGGGGGACATGACTTACGAGGAGAGGCTGAGGGAACTGGGCTTATTTAGTCTGTAAAAGAGAAGAATGAGGGAGGATATGATAGCTGCTTTCAACTACCTGAAAGGGGGTTCCAAAGAGAATGGATCTAGACTGTTCTCAGTGGTAGCAGATGACAGAACAAGGAGTAATGGTCTGAAGTTGCAGTGGGGGAGGTTTAGGTTGGATATTAGGAAAAACTTTGTCACTAGGAGGTTGGTGAAGCACTGGAATGGGTTACCTAGGGAGGGGTTGGAATCTCCTTCCTTAGAGGTTTTTAAGGTCCGGCTTGACAAATATTTGTAATAAAAAAATAAAGTGAGCACTGTACACTTTGTATTCTGTGTTGTAATAGAAATCAATATATTTGAAAATGTAGAAAAACATCCAAAATATTTAAATAAATGGTATTCTATTATTGTGTAACAGTGCCATTTAAACTGTGATTAATCAGGATTATTTTTTTTAAAATCATTTGACAGCCCTACATCTAATTTATCACCAATTATTTAACTTCTCAGTTTGATCTAGTAAGCCTAGAATAACCCTTGAGAGAATTTCAGGGTGTTGGGCAAATGTGTATGTAGGGGAAGGTGTCTTGTTTTGTTTTTCTAAATAGGTAATTGCTCAAGATTTACACTTCACAATGGAGGTGCAAACCAATATGCCATATATTATTTTTCTCAAAACAGGATGCTGTTGATACCTAATTGTTTATTTTTCACTCTAATTCATTACTACTAACTCTGCCTCTGTATTAAAATAGAAATTCAATACTATGACAAACATAATTGAAAACATTGGTCTAGGCTCATTCCTATTAAACTCTTATGCAATTTGCATTAGGGTCCAGCTGCCACCCTGAACATGTAACCACAATATCTCTCACACAGTGAAGGTAGCAATAAAAACTACCCTGAGTTAAGATATTGTATCTGCTGTACTTGGCTCATGAAAAAAGATTGATTTGCTAGAAGTCACAGATATTCTGAGAATACCAGTTTCTAAGAAGTTTTCCAATGAGATAAACTGGACAATTCCAGTTCACAGTAAGATAGTGTTTTACAATATCTGCCTCGTTAATAAAATTTTGAATCCTAACATGATGAAAAAAAAAATCTTAAAATATTCAAATAAAGTTGCGTGTTCTTGGGGGGAAAAAGGCCCCAAAATCACAAAGTTCAAATCCATATCTGAATTTTTTCAAAGTTCTGGAACTGTGAGGAGATTTCAGATGTTGGGCTTGGTTTTTGATAAGGGTGTTTTTTTCAAAAAAAGAAAAAGAAAAAAAGAAAAGAAAAAGACAAAGACCCAAATACATACTAGCTAGCCTCAACTTTAGCAAAGCTTTTGATACGGTCTCCCACAGTATTCTTGCCAGCAAGTTAAAGAAGTATGGATTGGATGAATGGACTATAAGGTGGATAGAAAACTGGCTAGATTGTCGGGCTCAATGGGTAGCGATCAATGGCTCGATATCTAGTTGGCAGCTGGTATCAAACGGAGTGCCCCAAGGGTCGGTCCTGGGGCCGGTTTTGTTCAACATCTTCATTAATGATATGGATGAGGGGATGGATTGCACCCTCAGCAAATTCGCGGATGACACTAAGCTGGGGGGAGAGGTAGATATGCTGGAGGGTAGGGATAGGGTCCAGAGTGACCTAGACAGATTGGAGGATTGGGCCAAGAGAAATCTGATGAGGTTCAACAAGGACAAGTGCAGAGTCCTGCACTTAGGACGGAAGAATCACATGCACTGCTACAGGCTGTGGACTGACTGGCTAAGCAGCAGTTCTGCAGAAAAGGACCTGGGGGATTACAGTGGACAAGAAGCTGAATATGAGTTAGTGTGCCCTTGTTGCCAACAAGGCTAATGACTTATTGGGCTGCATTAGTAGGAGCACTGCCAGCAGATTGAGGGAAGGGATTATTCCCCTCTATTCAGGATTGGTGAAGCCACATCTGGTGTACTGCGTCCAGTTTTGGACCCCCCACTACAGAAAGGATGTGGACAAATTGGAGAGAGAGTCCAGCAGAGGGCAACGAAAATAATTAGGGGGTTGGGGCACATGATTTATGAAGAGAAGCTCAAGGAACTGGGCTTATTTAGTCTGCAGAAGAAATAAGTGAGGGGAGATTTGATAGCAGCCTTCAACTACCTGAAGGGGGGTTTCAGTGGTGGCAGATGACACAACAAGGAGCAATGCTCTCAAGTTGCAGTGGGGCAGTCTAGGTTGGATATTAGAAAAACTAATTCAATATGAGGGTGGTGAAGCACTGGAACGGGTTACCTAGGGAGATGGTGGAATCTCCATCCTTAAGAGGTTTTTAAGGCTTGGCTTGACAAAGCTCTGGCTGGGATGATTTAATTGGGGTTGGTCCTGCTTTGAGCAGGGGGTTGGACTAGATGACCTCCTGAGGTTTCTTCCAACCCTAATTTTCTATGATTCTATGAACTGTTTAGGCTCCCAAGGAGACTATTTAGAGATAATCTGTGAAGAGACCACTTGCCCCTTCATACAACACAAACAGGCAAGGTGAAGCACAAAACAATTTAGTCCTGTCCAAATAGAAGGCCAGACATTGCCTCACATCTAACGTATAGAGACACTGCTCCTCCGGGGATGAACGTGGCTCAGGAAGGAACACAGGTAAATACACTGCCTGCTTCAAATAAAACTGAGGCTTGGTCTACACTTACCCCCCAATTCGAACTAAGGTACTTCGAACTTCAGCTACGTGAATAACGTAGCTGAAGTTCGAAGTACCTTAGTTCGAACTTACCTCGGTCCACACGCGGCAGGCAGGCTCCCCCGTCGACGCCGCCGTACTCCTCTTGTATAGCTGGAGTACCGCAATCGACGGCGATCACTTCCTGGTTCGACTTATCGCATCCAGACAAGACGCGATAAGTCGAACCCAGAACTTCAATTCCCAGCCGCCGAACTAGCGGCTGGGTGTAGACAAGCCCTGAGATATCACTTTACACAAAAATTGTGTTTGTGGTCATAAAGTCACCTGGTCCTTGGAGAACTGTGTATAAGGAGGCTCAACCAGTAGAGCCTGCAACTCGCACTCACTTCTTATGGATGTTATCACTATCAGGAACACAGTCTTCTGACACAAAAGGACAAACAAGATGCAGGGGCTTGAACCGAGGTCCCATTAGAGCTGTTAGGAACATGTTAAGGTCCCACAGAGGAACCAGCTCTCAGACTGGACAATGAAGATGAAGAACACCTTTTAAGAATCTTGCTATCATGGTATTGGAGAAGACTGATATTCCTTGAATGAGGGATGAAACGCTACTATCACTGCCAGATGCACTCTCAATGAGCTAAGTGCAAATCCCAAGGACTTAAGGTACAGCAAGTATTCCAAGATGTCCTGAACAGAAGTCACCATTGGGTGAAATCCACAGGCCAACAACCACATCAAAAACAGCTTCCATTTAGCTAAATAAGCCATTCTGGTAGAGGGCTTTCTACTGTTGAGTAGGACCTGTTGAACAGCTGCTGAAAACCATTCTTCCTCCTCATTTAGCCATGAAGCAGCCATGCTGTGAGATGCAGGGAACTAAGCATGGGATGTAAGTTGTGTGTGAATAGGTCAGAATGGCAAGGAAGGGAGAGGCTGAATTGACAGTGCAAGAAGGTTGGAGAACCACAGGAGAGCCAACTGCCAGCTGAGATGGAAAGCTTTGGACAGGGAGCCAGGGATCAGGCCCCCTTGAGAGCAGATCAGATGATATTTCCTGCTGTGTCTTGTGGCAAACAGATCGATCATCAGAATGCCCCAAGCTGCAAAGATGACCTAGAGGATGAAGTCCTGGCAAGGTCCTGGACCAGTGGAAAGGTCAGGAAGCAAGGAGAACAGGTCCATTGCCTCCTGATACACCGCTGGCACAAAACCAGCCAGAACTGGCACTGCCCTTGTCAGTATAGGACTCAGACACCCTGGGCCTGGAAAGGGAGTCAAAGGTAAGGGGTCTCTTTCCTCCCTCTGTCGTACTGCAGAGCAGTAGACGGGACCTGCTCCATCCCATAAACCGGCATTCACACCGTGCTGGTCCACACTCCTTCGGGAGGAGGCAGACAAGTCTCCACGCGACCAGGAATGGCCACGATTGGTCTTATGTGACCTTTTCCTCGGTGCACTTGATGGGAAGCAACTCCTCAGACCCTTCGGAGAGGCACAAGCTCTAGGATGTGAAACGGAAGCTCCCTCAAAACCGAAGGGTGATCTCTGATCCAACATGGGACTCAGAGCTGAACCAGACTGTAAGGCCTGTTCGAGCAGGTGCTGCTTTAGACGAAGATCCATCGTAATCTGAGTTCGCTTTGTGAACGATTTGCAAAGCGAACACCTTTCCTTGCCGTGGGCTTCACCTAAGCGCAGCAAGCACGTGTGAGGGGATTACTCCTCCACACGACGGACATGTTAAAACATTGGTGAGGGCATCACCAGGGAAATACTTCAACTAAAGCTAATGAATACTAAATCTAACACTATACTAAAGGTACTAATTAGGGCTGTTAATCGCAATTAATGCAAAAGATGAATTCAAAACAAATTAACTAGATATTTTTATTTATCGCAGTTTTAATTGCATTGTTAAACAATAAAATACCAATTTAAATTTATTATAAATATTTTTGGATGTTTTTCTACATTTTCAAATATATTGATTTCCATTATAACACAGAACACAAAGTGTACACTGCTCACTTTATATTATTTTTTATTACAAATATTTGCACTGTAAAAAAGATAATTGAAAAATACTGTTTCTTTTAATCTCATACAAGTACTGTAGTACAATCTCTATCATGAAAGTGCAACTTACAAATGTAGAATTATTATTTTTGCTTTAGAACTTACAGGACGAAGCATGAAGGGGCATACAAATGTTCAGCATATCTGGCACATAAACAACTTGTAATGCCACCTACAACGGTGCCATGCAAACGCCTGTTCTCACTTTCAGATGACATTGTAAATAAGAAGCAGGCAGGATTATCTCCCATAAAAGTAATCAAAACATGTTTGTCTCAGCGATTGGCTGAACAAGAAGTAGGACTGAGTGGACTTGTAGGCTTTAAAATTTTACATTGTTTTGTTTTTGAGTGCCGTTTTTAAAAAATATAATTCTAAATTTTGTAAGTTGCACTTTCATGATAAAGAGATTGCACTACAGTACTTGTATGAGATTAAAAGAAACAGTATTTTTCAATTATCTTTTTTACAGTGCAAATATTTGTAATAAAAAATATAAAGTGAGCAGTGTATACTTTGTATTCTGTGTTATAATGGAAATCAATATTTGAAAATGTAGAAAAACAGCCTAAAATATTTATAATATAAATTGGTATTCTATTATTAACAGTGCGATTAAAATTGCGATTAATCATGACTATTTTAATTGCACAATTAATTGCAATTAATTTTTTTAATTGTTTGACAACCCCAGTTCTAATTAGCTGTGTACAACTAGAAAAGTCACTAAGAAGTAGAGAAGTTGTGAGGTTAGAACCACACAGAGGTCCCACTCCAGCGATAGGCAGTAAGAAGGAATGGGGGGGTCAGAAGGGTCAGTCGAACAGTGCCGTCTCACGTAGCCAAGGGACGGGCTGTGGCCACTAGGTATGAGTGCTGGCCATCTATGGGTACTGCTAGGCAAAATTCTTCGGCTCCAGTGCACTGGGCAAGTGGAATACATGGCTGTACCTACTCGAAGAACTTATTTTCAAAATTGCTCTTGGAAGGAAAAGGACCATGTTTTGAACAATAAGGGAAATAATTTCATACCCAGTTGGAACAGAATCCACGCCTCGATACAAAAACAGATTCAGATTTGAAACTATTTTTTCAGCTAACTGGCTGCTGAGAACTAACTAGTTGCTTCTCAGGCTGCCAAACATATGCAGTACAGTCACCTACCCAACAATAAATGGTCTCTTATTGAAAAAAAAAAATGAAGCTCTGGTGTCAGAATATGAGACTGTGAATACAGAAGACCAGATTCTGATCTCATCTGATGTTTGACATTGAATCAGCATGAGCTGCACTTGACTCAGTGGCTTTCAGAAGAACACTACAGATGTGCTTGGCTGCCCACTTTTGCTCATAGAACAAAACCTAAAGCTAACCACGCTAGTTATTTGGCCCCCCCATTGATTTGCTCTCTTTTTCTTCTTGAAAAAGTTTTAAAATTAATATTTGTGTCAACAATTCCCTGACATACACTGCAGTTTGATACTTAATGTAGTATAATTTTATATTTAAACAAAATTAATTTCCATGCATATTATGCTCTTAATCATATGTTAAAAACAAGGAAAGAACACTGCGACACAAAATACTGGAAAGGTCAACAGGGCAGAACAAGGTGGTAAATTCAATCACCAAAGGTCAATTATTTTAGAAAAGCAGCAGCTGCACCATTGTCAATTGTAAAAACAAATTATTTTTGAAGATATACATTAATTCAACTCCTTATTTAAGGTCAGACTAGATAATCATAATGGTCCCTTTTGGCCTTAATGTCTATGAAGATATGAATATTAAGAAGGTTGAAAAAATGTTTGAATATTTTTGCCAAGTTTGCTGCAGGTGGCATAACTATTTGGCTCCCAGATTTATCTTTCTTTAGCTGTCTGATTGAACAGCCTCTTTCCAAACTAAGAGGCTACCAGAGAGCATTTCCCACTAAGATGTCACAAATCTTTGCTCCAGAAAGAAAATGTTGAAGAATTTTCCATCCCATAAGTAGCCCTCCATTGTACACCTATCTAAATACATCAAATTAAACCATTCTGAATAGTGGTTGCTGTGAAAGCATAGTAATTTAGTTCAACAAAAATTCATAAGGAGCTCTTAAAACCTTGACATTAATGTGTATACATGGCAGTTTCACTGTTCCTTTTAACTGTAACAAAGAAATTGGCTTAGAAGCTGAGCCAGTTAAGGCTTCAGTCTTTGAAGCTGTATAACCAAAAAATTTTAAAGGGGTACATTTTTAAGAGGGTAGGAGATCCAGCCTCCCTTTTAGCATATGCATATGGAGCTCACACTATTTGAATCTGGAGAAATGAATTGTGGGTGGCAGTTTGAGTACTTATGCCTCTAACTTCCTAATTTGCACCCACAACTGAACTTTGCATGTGCAAATTCTGCAGACCCTGATGCCAATATAGTGAATACGGATGAAGACTGAATAAGCTTTTTATTTCAAAACCTTTCTTCCAAACCACCTTATTGCTTATAAAGTTTTACATGTGTCACTTTGAAAGTTTTAAAACATTTTCATTTCAGAGACAAAGAATGACTGGAAAATCATGAGACACTTGTGCATGTTGAACTACTCATGCATGAGTAACTTACAGAAGTGTTTGCAGGAGCAGGCCCTTTTTGAATAAAGGCCTGATCCTTCACTAGTTGACATCAACTTCAATGGAATTTATATGGTGCCTGTTGCATGGACTGGATTGGAGAGAAACAAACAGGATTTTTTTAAAAATAAAACCGTACTTTGACTTAATATATATTAATACGAAAAGTAAAATCAATATATAGATTATGAATACCTATTATCTCTAATTATCCATGTGCAGCTTTCATGGTCAATAGATGAACAGAGTTTTCCTTCCACCAAAGGAGGCTGACTTTTCAATGCTACAATGATATGATCTGGAGAAAACTGTACTTGTATGTTATCTTTAGTGATGTCTTGTGGAAGATGAATTGTTACTGTCAAATCATCTTCAGTCTGTTGCCAGTAATAGACAGGGTCTACAAATGGAAACACATATAAATGCAAAGTCAGTTACAAAATGCAAAGTATATGGGGGGGGGGGAGGGGAAGGGAGGAAGAGAGAGAAATTTGGTAAAGTGTGTGTATTCACTTTCTACTCTGAAAACTTCATAAGAAAGATATTCTGATCACTTATTAAAAAATAGAGAGGAACATAATTTTCTGGCTACCAGTAGGTATTTGACCAAAGTCCACTTGTGTCTCAGTTATGGAGAGTTGCTTACACTCATGTGCACATTTAAATACGCAGGTGTACACTCAGCTGAACAATATAAATATGCACTTGTAGTTTTTTTAACATGGCATTTTTAATTAGTCATAACTTTATGAAATCAATACACAAATTAATTCAAATAAGCAAAGGCACTATGTCTCAGTGAGCATTAATCCCGTTATCTAGGTTCAGCACCTTTTGAGTTATCTTCATGACTCCACAGTAACAGTAGTTCTTTGAGATGTGTTGTCCACATATATTTCACTTCTGATACATGTGCCCCATGTGTGTGAGGTCTCAATCTTTTTAAATACTAGTGTTCACTGGGGCCATGCCTGCACCCAGTATGCCCTCTGGAACACTGTAGCTAAGGGAATGAAGGGCAGGACAGCTGTAACTAGCCTTCAGTCTCCTAACTGCAGAATCCAGTCAGGAAGGAGGGCGGGCTGTGGAAATACATGTGTCCATTTAGATACTGTATTAGGAAAAATCTAACTATAGGAGTAGTTAAGGTCGGGAAACAGTCTTCCAAAGGAGGTTGTGGAATCCCCAATATTGGTAGTTAAGAAGAGATTTAACACACACCTGTCAGGTATGGTCTTTTTACATGAACTGCCTCAGCACCAGGGGTTGGACTTGACTTCTTGAGGTCCGTTATATCCCTACATTTCTATGACAACAAATCACAAAAAACAGTTACTGTACTGTAAATAACAGTTTTGTTTTTGGAGTGGTTGTCCATATGGATTCCATTTTAGATGACTCATAAGAAGAGATCTCATGTCCTCGAAGTGGGTGCTCAGAGTCTAGTGAGCCCATGACTAAGACAGCTCCGCCAAAGTGGGCATCAGATCTGGAACCCTCTACCAAGGAGTAGTGATGGGTGAGGTGAACGTGTGAACTGAACTCCAAGTAGCTTGACGATTGGAAAGTCCATTAGGGAAGCAGAAGAGGCTTCTTGAGCTCTGGTGGAATGGACGCTAATCTGCGCAGAGGGTCCAGGCAAGCTATTGTACAGCAAAGGCTAATACAGCCCAACACCCATTTAGATAACATTTGGATGGTTATTTGTGACCTTTCAGTCGGCATGGATTTGTCAAGACCAAATCGTGTCAAACCAAATTGATAGCTTTCTTAAACAGGGTAACAACCTTTGTGGATAGGGGGAAGCAGTAGATGTGGTATTTCTTGACTTCAGTAAGGCTTTTGATACTGTCTCGCATGACCTCCTTATAAATAAAATAGGGAAATACAACCTAGATGGAGCTACTAGGGCAGTGCATAACTCGTTAGAAAACCATTCCCAGAGAATAATCATCAGTGGTTCATAGTCAAGCTGAAAGGGCACATCAAGTGGTGTCCCACAGGGATCAGTTCTGGGTCCGGTTCTCTTCAATATCTTCATCAGTGATATAGATGATGGCCTAGAGAGTACACTTATAAAAGTTTACAGATGATACTAAGATGGGAGGGATTGCAAATACTTTGGAGGATAGGATTAAAATTCAAAATGATCTGGACAAACTGAAGAAATGGTCTGAAGTAAACAGAATGAAATTCAATAAGGACAAATACAAAGTACTCACTTAGGAAGGATCAATCAGTTGCACACATACAAAATGGGAAATGACTGTCTAGGATGGAGTACTGTGGAAAGGGATCTGGGGGGGTCATAGTGGATCACAAGCAAAATATGAGTCAACAGTGTAACACTGCAGCAAAAAAAGCAAACATCATTCTGGGATGCATTAGCAGGACCGTTGTAAGCAAGACACGAAAAGTAATTCTTCCGATCTACTCCACGCTGATTAGGCCTCAACTGGAGTACTGTGTCTTGTTCTGGGTGCCACATTTCAGGAAAGCTATGGACAAACTGGAGAAAGTCCAGAGAAGAGCAACAAAAATGATTAACAGTCTAGAAAACATGACCTATGAGGGAATATTGAAAAAACTGAGTTTGTTTAGTCTGGAGAAGAGAAGAATAAGGGGGGAACTGATAACTGTTTTCAAGTACATAAAATCTTGTTATAAGGAGGAGGGAGAAAAATTGTTCTCCTTAACCTCAGAGGATAGGGCAAGAAGCAATGGGCTTAAACTGCAGCAAGGGCGGTTTAGGTTGGACATTAGGAAAAACATCCTAACTGTCAGGGTAGTTAATCACTGGAATACATTGCCTAGGGAGGTTGTGGAATCTCCATCATTTGGATATTTTTAAGAGCAGGTTAGACAAACACCTGTCAGGATAGATAATACTTAGTCCTGCCATCAGTGCAGAGGCCTGGACTAGATGACTGATCGAGGTCCCTTGCCTACGATCCTACAAAAACAAAAAAAACCACACACCTTTCTAATAGAATTAGCCTGTGCATATTTCTGGCTTCTTTTAGCTACAGCTTTGTGGAAGGTTTGAAATACACATCAGTGAACCACAGCAAATGATTTCATGTGAAAATAATCCACAAACAGTGTTTTCCATAAAATAGCCCACCAATGATCCTGATTAGGATACACCCAATAGGCAAACCAGTATGACTACCTGTAGAGAGAACAACATTTATTTTATTTTTTTAAGAGAGGCCCTCTGTGCTAACTGGTACAATCACTCAGCATGTTGATGATGAAAACATTTGGAGGATTTTGTCTTCCTGCTGATCTAGTGGTTGCCCTTCACACCACTGATTGGCGCATGATGAAGTTAGAATTCAATGAATGTCCTCTTTCCACAGATACTTACAGCTCAATTACTATCTCTATTTCTACATGTGTAATACTCATTTTTTCATGCAAAGGCAATGAAAGCATGAACTTTGTTTGTCTTCTGCAGAGCAAAACTCTTCGTACATCTCTAGTTGCAAGGCATCTTCTACGATTAAGAAAGGCAAACACCAAACACAAAGAGAAATTACATACATAAAATAATATAAATATCTAAATCTCTTTGTCCAGGAAGTAAACAATTACAATGAAATTTAAGACAGTGAAAAAAAATATTGTAGTGATATATGGAAATTCATTAAATCATCTAGCGTTATTTTGTTACAATAAAGGATTGTTTCGTTACAGAAGTCTAGGAAAACATGACCAGAACAAATATTACCTTTCTTTTTATCTGCTATTTTCCCATCTTCCTTTTTTTCAAGCTGATTCTCCTCATCCTGCATAAATCTGAAGGGTTTGTAGGAGACAATCATTAGACCATCCCCATCTGGCTCGATAGCTGCATAATGAGGGACTGACTTTCCTTGGAGAACTCTGCGCTTGAAGATTTCATATCTTTGATTATCTGTAAAAGGAATACAAAAACAGAAAAGTAATATTTTCTAGGAGGAAAAAATTCAATTATAAATGTGACAAATGGATTGTACCTAAAAATAATATATAGCCACATCAGTCAATTCATAATATTGCAGCCCTGAAACAGCAGTTCATCTCTGTTCTAGATACCAGAGATCTGCTAAACAAACCTATATCCAGCAGCCATAGGAGACTGAAATTAATCAGGATTGAAATTAAAGCCCTGTAATCAGGTACACTGTAGGTTTTCCCACCTATTTTTCTAGCCTCCCACATTAGCCACTATTGGAGACATGATAAATAAAGGACTAGATGGGCCATTAGTTTCTTCCAGTATGGTAATTATTTATCATTTGTACTTCTGTATCACCTAGAGTTCCAAGCAGGGATTAGAGCCCAAGTGTGCTAGGCACTGTACTACTACCACCACCACCACCACAAGAAAGACAGTCCCTGCTCCATGCAATTTACAATCTTAACATATGATGAACCAAAAGGTGGGGGATGAACAATGGAATGAGGGAGAACAAGTAATAGTGAATCTAATTTGCTATAATGAGCAGCAATCACAGCATGTCCACTGCCTACTCATTCTTAATAATGCAGCATAATTCTTGTTTTCTCCACTACTACATGGAATTCGGCCTTGCTATTGGAAAGTTCTGTTTTTTAGCTTTTAGAAATGGGCTTCTGCTTTCTTGTTTTTGTCAAATTTAAGGAAATTTTAATTTTTAATGGTGTTTGGTCATCAATTCAGTTGTCTTCCATGAGAAATACAGAGCAGAATACCATTTTCAATAATAATTTGCAGAAAATTATATATGCATGGCCTGTATTTAACTGATAATGCCTTTTACAGGTTCCACACAAATCCTGGTTAATGCTAACTGGCCCTTCTTAGTGCAAAATGCTTATCTTGCCCAGCATTTGTACAAAATGTACAGCTATCAATCCATCCCATGCTGTGCTTCCAACAATATACATTGAGACAAACAGAAGCATAACATGCTGATATTGGTATCAGCATTTCCCCCTCTGCCTCAACATCTAAATTCACTCAGCTCAATAGTAACTAATCACTTTTGAACAACCACTGATGTCAGAGAAGCTAGCTAAGTATTTTAGACTTTGTTCAAATTCTCTACAGATCATTTATTTCTACTTGTTTTCGATATTCCATATTTAACTTCTATTTCCTTTCATATTAAACTACTGTACTTGTAAGTAGGCATATTAAACTATTGTACTTGTAAGTATTACCTGACTAACTTAGAAGTCACTGGAAGTAGAGATGTGTTATACAAGGACACATTATTATTCCTCAAAATGTAGTGGTGTGGTCTGTTTTTAAGACCAGCAAATACACCAATATGGGCAAATATTTCAGATCTGCCAAATTTTGTATGCCAAGGCAGTGTTTCAATATAAAGGCTAGACAGACCTTTATACATATGAAAACTGTATTAGAATACATAATGACACACAAGCTAGGTAAGTTCAGGCGTGGTCACTACTTGATTATAATGAACCTTTGGTCTGACCCACTATGGCCGTTCTTATGTCCAAGGAAAATTAAGATACTATTAAAGGAAATAACACTGTACAATAGGTGGCACAATTCAGTAAGAGTCAGTATAGATATGTCTATATTGCAGTTTAAAAGCAAGTTCTCAGAGATGCTGTTACTATCCCTAAACTTGCAATAGTTGGTTTTAAGCCACATGACTCGATCTCTGTACTGATAGGTGGTACAGAGGATATCCCAAGCTTTTTTGAGATTTGTTTGTACACATGATCATTTCTTGCACTCTTACTGAAGTAAATGTCTTGCTTGCCTTCCACTAAAGATTAATCAGAATTCATCTGTGTTCCTCATAGTTACAAACACCAGAGTTACAAACTCATTTGGAAACAGAAGTACGCAATTAGGCAGCAGCAGAGACCAAAAAAAAAAAGAAAGGGCAAATATAGTACAGTACTGTGTTAAATGTAAACTACTAAAAAAAAGGAAAAGATTAAAAATATTTGACAAGGTAAGGAAACTTTGTGCTTGTTTCATTTAAATTAAGCGGGTTAAAATCAGCATTTTTCTTCTGCATAGAAAAATTTCAAAATTATATGAAGTCTCATGTTCAGTTGTAAACTTTTGAAAGAACAAGCATAACGTTTTGTTCAGAGTTACGAACATTTCAGACATTATGAACAATCTTCATTCCCAAGATGTTCTACTGTAATTAGTTAACTTTAAACTAGTAGATGAAAGCCTATGCTGTCACACAGGTTTAACCTGTAAAGCCATATGTAAAAAAAAAAAAGACTGAGAACTTAATAACAGGACTGTAACAGACCACGAATCCCAGTGATGATTGAACCTCATGATATTCTAAACAAAAAGAGTTCTCAACCATGCTTACAGCTGTTTTTATCACGTCACACTGACATAGGCTGGGTCTACACTAAAAAGCTAGACAACCCAACTATATTACTAAGGGGTGTGAAAAATCCATACCCCCGAGTGATGTAACTAAGCTGACCTAATGCCTGGTGTAGACAGCCCTAGGTTGACGGAAGAATTCTTCCATTGACCTAAACTAGTACCTCTCGGGGAGGTGGATTACCTTCGCTGACAAGAGAACCTCTCCTATTGGCGTAGGTAGTGCAGCTGCGCGGCGGCTCTAGTGTTCCAAGGGTAGACAAAGCCTCAGATATTCTAGGCTTCAGAGTGCTGTTTGGGGTTATTGTGTATGCTGGGTGTGTTGATTTGTATCTGGAGTAGATTGTGCCAGGAGATGTGTTGATTGGTGTGAGTGATAGGTGGGTGCTGAATATGGCAGTTAAGGCAAATAATCTACCATCAGTGTAGTCTCCCTCATACAGCCCATGAAATTGTTAGCTGTAGAGCAGGGGTTCTCAAACTTCATTGCATTGCGACCTCCTTCTGACAACAAAAATTACTACATGACCCCAGGAGGGGGGACACCGAAACCTCAGTCCGCCCGAGCCCTGCCACTTGGCCAGGGTGGGGAGTGGGGGACAAAGCCAAAGCCTGCAGAGGTGGGCCAAAGCCCAAGGGCTTCAGCCCCAGGCAGGGGACCTGTAACCTGAGCCCTGCCACTCAGTGGGGCTCGGGCTTTTGCCCCAGGTCCCAGCAAGTCTCACGCCAGCCCTGGCAACCCTATTAAAATGGGGTCGCAATTCACTTAGGGGTCCCAACCCACAGTTTGAGAACCACTGCTGTAGAGTAAGAGTGGGGATTGATTGAGTTAACTTTGACATCACAATGGTTAAAACTCTTGGCGTGGCCTAGGAACATGCCTTACTGTAGCTGTACACTACATGGGTGTAATTCATAAAGTCAAAATGGCTGAGAATTTAAAAATTATATAGTAATAGACTTGCAGTGATGATTCAACCTGGTGATAATCTGAACAAAACAAAACAAAAAAGCTCTCAACCATGCTTCCATCACATCACATTGACTCAAAGTACATTCTAGGCTTCTGAGTGACAATCCTAGAATTTTATTATATAGATTATGAAGCATGTATTGTGGTTTACTACTTAAACATGCTGTCATCTGGTTATCAAAAGATGTTTCAGAGGTCTAACAAAATATAAAAAAAACCTATCAAGCAATTGGACCATAAACGAGTGATATTTGGTAGTGTTAAAAACAAAGCAAAAAACAAAAAAACCGCACACGCACACATAGTTCATTTGCACATAAGGCAGTCAGAGCTCTGACAAATTCTCTCTCTACTGGGACACATCTGATACACAGAGAAGCACTAGAGATATATTTTGACTCAGATACCAGATACATTAGATACCTGGAAACTAGTTAAAACACAGAGGGTTCACAGCCTAAACTTGGCATTTCCTCACTTTTTGTTTTGGTTTCTATTAGGCTTCACATCCTCTGATTTATACAGATTTAGTGATTATGAATCAACATTCCTTATGAAAGGATAGAAACACACCTTTTCCTTTAACAGGTAACAAATATAGAAATTATTTTCAAACAAGAAAAAATTTACACACCAAACAGTAACTATGTCTAGACACTTCAATGTGTGTGAGATCTAGATTTATATCTTAATTTCATCCAGTCTATCAAAGTAGTGATATGAACACATTTTCAAATGTGGACAACCCCAGATATGAGCAGTATAATTAATAAGAAAAAGAAAAGTTTCCTATGATATTTAAGGGAAAAGAAATATGTATACTGACAAAAATGTGATTAAATAGCAGTTGCTCCTGATTTAAAACCTTAAATAAAGTTTTGCCACTGATCAAGTTTTATACTTCCTTCTAAAAAGGACAGTACTATAATATTTGTTCTAGGTTTAGAGAATTTAATTGCTTACTATAAAAAGATTGGTTGAAAGATTATATTTTTTCTTATTAAATTTTGCTGCATGCTGAAGATTGTAATTTAGTTTTCAAATGATTAATCACACCTTTTCCCATCATTGAACTTTATAATTACAATATATCAAAATTATTCTTAATGAAATGTTAAAGGTGGAAAAATGCTAAGCTAGTGCAATACACATTCAGGAAATGCAAAAATGTAAGAAAAACATAAGCGTGACAATGTTGCACAAGGAAAGTGTATGTAATATGGCTAAGTTAACTAACATCTACCTGTATTTCCTAACCTCTATGAAGCATGCACAATTTTTGAGTGCAACAACAGCACTCAAAGAAGTGTATAGTTAACAGAGCCAGTAGAGCAGTACAGAATTTATAAGCTCTGTACAGGTGCATCTGAACTCAGCCAGGAACCAGTGGCGGATTAGTCACTGGGCCAACGGGGCCCATGCCCAGGAACCCTGGCCAATTGGGGGACCCTGGAAAAGGGCTTTCCCGCACCCCGACCTGCTCCAGCTGCCCGGAGCTCCTGCTGGGGAGCGGGGGAAGCCCCTGTGCCCCGACCCCTATCCCCAGCAGAAGGGCGGGGTGGGGCGGGGAGGGAAAACTGCA